AGGGCGTGAGCGCTGATTGGCTCCTCGCGGCGCTGGGCGGGGTCTCGAGGGCCGGCGGAAGCAGCGAACTGAGGCAGGAGCACTGCGGCTGCGGGGGAGGGCCGTCACGTGCGTTTGGAGAACCGGGCGTTCAGTTTGTTTGGTGGCTCTTGAAAGCCTGGTGGAAACCTGGGCGTAACGACCCCACAGTGTGTCCGACCGCTGTGCGGTGCCCAGGACGAACTCATGTGGAACCAGGCACTTGGCGTGAGACCGGAGGACTCAGCATACACCAAGCAATGGACCCCTGAGACAGGCCTCTGGGAATCCGTGGCCCTCACACTAATGAACTTAGACTGCCAAACTGGGACAGAAACCAAAAAGCATGACCCAGACTCAGAAAGATATTTTCACACCTAAAAAGTGTGAGACATAAGTGGAAACCAAAACACAAGGCATTGAATCCCCTAATTAGAGGTTTGTTCAAGAAGATTTGCTGAATACTTCTCCCTTCTAGGGTGAAGAGACAGACAAATACGATGCTCACTTAACTAAGTGCTGTGAACAATTAAAAACTGGAGGGAAGGTTTACAGAGTTGTGGGTGAGGACGCTGGAGAAAGACTGAAATCCAGGGACTGGACCCAGGTGTTGTGTAACCGTTTCCTGCGAGATTGAAACATTCTATCCTGCAGAGAAACTCCTTAAACAGGAAAGTAAACGGCACAAAGGAACTTTGGGAGTCCTTGAAACTGACCAGATTCACCGGGTTACTCCTTGCTGGAGTAAGCAATAAAAGTTGAGAATCCCTGTTCGATGAACTCCACGGAGCTGCAAAGAAGACTCAGCCAAACTGCTTAGAAGAAGCAGAAATCAGCCTCCTGCCTCCTGCCTGGAAGAGGTCTAGACCAACTTAAATAGCTGGAGGACACTCTTCAACTTTGCTGGTATCCATACTCATCTGTAGTGACTAGGTGTGTATTGTGTCTTCTCAAGAAGTGTTTTGTCACACAACACCAGCTTGGTACAGATGAGCAGAAACCCAGATGGGCGTACTGAAATATAGCACAGTTAGAATGGCTGAAACATCTGAACAAGTTGTGGGTCAGAACCAGTCAGAAACACGAATGAACCCGAAGAAAATTGTAATCTTAAAGTAGGTGGGTGCCAAGGAGAGCAATGGTAAGATAGTGAATGACACAGTTTGTCTCTCAGGCATTACTACCCTGTCGTCCCTGGACGCAGACTCCTCTGTGGCCAGCAAATGAGATCTTAGACATCAATAAAGATCTTAAAGGCAATCTTAAAGATAAAAAAAAGGTAAATGTTTAAAAATAAAGAGAGGAACTGGAGGTGTCCCTCAGTAGAGTGCATGCTTAGCCTGTAGCAGGTCTTTGATTCTTTTTGCAACACTAAAGGAACAAAATCCTGCAGGGGAAAAAGAAACAAAGCACTAGAATTTAAAATTAGTCCTTCAAGCCGGGCAGTGGTGGCGGCACATACCTTTAATCTCATGACTTGGGAGGCAGAGGCAGGCAGATCTCTGAGAATTCAAGGCCAGCCTGGTCTACAGAGCTAGTTCCAGGACAACCATGACTATTATATAGAGAAACCTTGTCTCGGAAAACAAAAACAAAAGTTTTTCAAAATGTATTAGGCCACTCAGCAGAATCCTTTTTAGAAGACAATACCATCGCTCTATTAAGATATTTTTTTAAAGAACAGGATAAATGGATAGTACCATGAAATTAAAACCACATTAACCAACATAAAAAGTAGCAGTTGAAACAGTGAAACAGACCTGATGACACAGAAGAGCAAGCCAGCAATATAAAAGGTGGGCACGAGAAAAGTTTACAAAGTCATAGAATTCCTTAGGAAAGAAAATGATCTAGGGTAGTGTTGCATGCTTTTAATCACAGTGTTTGCTCAGCCAGGGCTCCTCAGTAAGACCCTGTCTTTGAAAGAGAGAGAGAAGATACATGACAATGGGAGAAATTCAAACTATACAGATCCCAAGAATAAAACTGAGGGAATTAATTAGAAGCAATAGTCAAAATGGAGGAAAACTTTCCTCAGTATAAAAGTAGACAATTCAGTTGGTTCACTGGGTTCCAGAAAATTAATAAGCAGAAGCCAGCCTGTCTTAGCTACCTGTTCTATTGCAATGTTAAAATGTTCTGACAAAAGCAGTGCAAGGGAGTCAGGGGCTATTTTGGCTCACAGTTCGAAAAAAGTCTGTCATGGAGGCAGGAGCTTGAGGCATCCGTCCACATTGCAGAAGCAGGAAGCAGAGGATGATGCTAATACTCACCCCCCCCCCCTTTAAAGCACAGTCTAAGACTGCAGCCCCCTTGTTTGTAATTCAAATATATAAAAAACAAACAAACAAACAAAAAGACTGCAGCCCTCAGAGAATGGTGCTCTCCATAGTTACAGTGGATCTCCCAACTTCCATTAACAGGAACTAAATAATCTCTCACAGCCCCAGCATTTAGGAGGTAGAGGTAAGAGGATCTCTATGAATTTAGGCCACCCTGGTCTACAGAGTGTGTTACAGGACAGGCTCCAAAGCAATACAGAGAAACCCTGTCTTGAAAAAACAACAACAAAAAAAAAAAAAACAGAACAAAAACAAAACAAAAAACAACAAAACCCTCACACTCATGCCCAAAGCCTGTCTCCTAGATTCTAGATTCTGTCAGAGTGACAGTATTAGCCATCATACAACTTTAAGATGGAATCTAGATAAGTGCACACATTTAAAAATGATTTATTTAAGGGCTGGAGAGATGGCTCAGTGGTTAAGAGCACTGGCTATTCTTCCAATTCAATTCCCAGCAGCCACATGGTGGCTCACAACCATCTGTAATGAGATCCGGCACCCTTTTCTGGCCTGCAGGCATACAGACAGACAGAATGCTGTGTACGTAATAAATAAATCTAAAATGTTTTAAAATGATTTATTTGTCTTTATTCTAGTGTATAAATGTTTTGCCTGGTATGGGTAGAAGTCAGAAGTTGGTGTTGGATCCTGGGGTTATAAAAAGCCATGTGGGTACCAGAACTGAACCTGGGTCCTCTGCAGGAGCAGCCAGTGCTCTTAATTGTTGAGCCATCTCTCCAGCAGCCAAAAGTTGATGAATTTTAAGGATAAAGAACAAACTAATAATATCCTATCAGAGGATGAAGCTACTTATTTGAAAAGCTAAAAACTAGCCCCAGAATGGTGGTAGATATTCATAATCCTGCATGTGTGGAGTCAAAGGACCACAAGTTTAAGTCATTCTTGACTGCAAAACAAGTTGGAAGACAGTCTGAGCTACAGGAGACCCTGTTTCGAAAACAAAACAAGTACCTAAATGCCGACCTTCAGATTTCTTCTCTGTAATAATTTTTGTATGAATTAAATGTTAAAGGAAAATGAAACAAGACTGGCAGCTGTTGGGAGGGTTTGATGTGATTCTCCTTGGATCATTTCATTCACTCTAAAGACTTAACTCCTCCTCGATCTTTGTTGCTCTGAATAACTCTCTTAATTTTGTTTTTGCATTTAATTACTGAGGGCGGGGTGCACAGGGCATGCCTCAAACAGCATGTCTGTGGAAGCTGGTGATAACTTGTAGCAGTTATTTCTTTCAGTCTACCATGTGGGTTCTGGGAACCAAACTCAGGTCATCATGTTTTGTGGCAAGCACCTTTATTTTCTGAGTCATCTCACGGGTCCAGAATAACTCTTCTTGAGCTCCAAGTCAGCATGTCTACTGCACACTGGATACTGGCATGTGACTTTCCACATCTTCATGAACTCTATATTGGCAAATTACCAGCAGTTCATTGATAAAACTTTAGCTTCAATTTCCAGACTTGGGGTGGGGGCTGCAATAATACCCACCTCATATATGTATTGTATAGAATAAATAAAATAACACACAAAGAGCCCAGTACATAGTATACTATGTACCCAATAAAGGTTATCTATTACTGTTATCTACCCCACCCAAGCCTGTTCCTCATCTTGTATCTAGTGGATAGTATTGCCTTTACACAGATACAAACTGCAAATAGGGTTATAAATTGTAAGGCCTCATAGGCTGGTGCCTAGTTTTGTGGTAGAATATTTATCCAATATGTATTTTACTCCACTCCTGAATGTAACACCACCGACCCAGTCACAAATTCCCATAAAGTTTAATGTGCATGAATATATTTAAGGTTCCTTTTGTTACTTTATACGTGCAAGGTGTATACATGTATGTGCGTGTGTGTGCGCGCATGAGTGCACTTAACTGTACATGTCCATGTCAAGACTAGAGGTTGACATCATGTGTTTTCCTTCATCACTCTCCACTTTAGTTTTTGAGATAGCATTGCTCACTGAAACTAGAGTTCTCATTTCTGCTAGACTGGCTAGCCATTCAGCCTCTAGGATCTGCCTGGCCCTCTGCCCAGCACAGGGACACACACACATACACACACACACACACACACACACACACACACACACACACACTGCTGGACTAGGCTTGTATGTGGGTGCTGGGGATCTCCACTCAATTTGTCGTGCTTTCATAGCAAGCACCCTACTTACTGAGCCCTCTCCCCAGTCCCCAGACACAGCAGCATCAGCATTTCTGAGAGTTTGTTAGAATTGTAGCATCTCAGGCCCCATTTCAAATCTGAATCCAGATCTGCATTTTAACAAGTACCCCAGGTCATTAGTTTCCATCTACAGTTTGAGAAGCAAACTTAATGTGTAACCACTTGTTGGTTAAAGCCTGTTGGATCATTTTACTGAAACTGCACAATGGCTTGACTCTTTCCAGTGGTGACATCTC